AAACCTTGTGAATTATTGATAAGAAAACAATCTCTTTTATTAGTTATTAAATTAAATAAATAGATAATAAATTTAATTTATTAAAAATTTATAATGTATGAGCTAGGGAACTTACTATTGAATTTATTAAAAATACTTGAGTAGTGGAATTGTTAAATTTACTTAATTGCTAAAACATAGTTGTGGTTAATTGTCTTGATAATTTTGCTGTCGTGTTATATCACTTTGTAAGGGACAAACTAATAGTTTAATGAAATAATTGAATTGTTAGTAACAATTAATTCCTAAAGAGTTAAAATATTTCTAGAAAATTAGTTACCTATAACCGAAATTTGTTTGGTTGTAATTAAACTTTATACTTAAACGTTTTGGGATCACATCACAATGTTTAAAAAATACTATTAAAATTAATAGAATATCCTAGCAACAGCTAGCGGTAGACAGTTGTATCCCTAGAGAATACCTAATAATTAGCTTTTTCATTTCTAACCTTTCAATACACCTTTCATTTCTAACCAAAATTTCTCTTGACGCATGATAATCAGAAGCCAAAAGTCTCATTCGGAACCTCGAAATTAGTGGTATAAATTAGTGGTTCCATTTAAACTTTATACTTAAAGTTTACGATCGTTCACAATGTCTAAAAAAATACAATTATTAAAATTAATAGAATATCCTAGCAACAGCTTGCGATAGTCTGTTGTATCCATAGAGAAAGCCTAATAATTAGCTTATAAAACAATAAACTTTTCATTTCTAACCACAATTTTTCTTGAAGGATGATCAAAAGCCAAAGTGATATTACACAAATACATTACGCAAATTTTGCAGTATAATTAGTGGCAAAAGTTAAAAGTTTGATAACTTTTTCTACTAATTGAGAAGTACTACCACTAATTTTACGTTCTGAATGCTTACATTGAAATTAAATCAACAAGTTTCTACGCTAATTTAAACCACTAATATAATTTATTCCTCTAATTGCAAGTTTCGGAATGAAGCTAAAATAACATTACTTACAAATTTTGAAGTATAATTAGTGGAAAAAATTGAAAATTTGTTAACTCTTCCGACTAACTGGAAATTAGTACCACTAATTTGGACGTTCTGAATGCTTATATTGAAACTAGAAGAACAAAGTTCTATGCTAATGGAAACCACTAATTTCGAGGTTCTGAATGAAGTCTAAATGATTGTTAAGTTTTCTACTAATTGAAAATTACAAATACTAATTTTGACGTTCTAAAGGCTTACATTGAAATTAGATGAACAAACTTCTACGGTAATTGAAATCACTAATTCTGTTTGAAACTGTGGCTACTACTACTATTATTATTATTACTAAGCATTTTATTTAGTTATAGTAGAATATTCAAAACAACAGCATTTTGATTAATGCATTATGTTAGTTATTATTATTAATTAATTTGTATGTGAAAATGTTGTATTTTTGCACGATATCCAAAAACATCTTAATTATTTTATCACATATACCTGTATATTCAATTAATTTTTAAAATTAGTATTTTGTGATAGACAAAGCCTGTCGAGTTTTGCCAAACCACGGGTAAAACTAAAATAAATTTATAATTCACATTATTCGGTTCTTCTGTATCCTATTCTCTAAATAACAATCTAAATAACAATAAAGAAAACGAATAATCCTGTTTATAATAATGTTTTTCGAGTCAAATAAATTGAAAAAAAATATTATATTTTAATTACTCTTCGCTAATTAAAATATACCTACTACAACACAGCTTCGGCATTAAATATAATAAGTAAATATGGAACATAAAAAAATATAAAAATTCACTTAAATTTCATTTTATTTTATGATATTTTTTAAGATTAAATGAGTTCTAAAGTGCATCAGACTGTTAATTATGTTTATGTAAAGTCTAAGCTTAAGTGGCCCAAGTAATCGCTTAGAGTTATTCAAGAACGCTTAAATGGAGATTGCGTTGGAGTCGAGAAATAAGAGAAATCGTTTCTTTTTCTTTGCCGTCGGTCGCAAAACAAACTACGAGAACGACTAATATTCTTGTTATTCCAATAACAATAAATTATCGGGTTGCATAGGAAAAATATCTTAACGCAAGCTACATCAAGTTAGCATACCTGTCATTTGACCCACCTATTGCAGCAGTTCGACTAAATACGAAGGTTAAAGATTGAACAGATTGTTGTTAGCTAAGTATTTGCACTGAATTTTGAGTCAAAGACCTCGTAATAATAAAAAAATGTTAATAACCTCTTAATCACACAAACTTGATTTCATAGATAATTATATTATTAATCGTAATTGCTAAATCACTAAGTTAAGGCCAAGTTCGACCTACTCCATTACTAATTAAACCAGTGGCGGTTTATTAAGGTTTATTAAAATTTATTAAAAAACTAATTGTCAGACTATAAATTAATACACAAAAACTTCGGCAAATTTATTATCTGGCGTTAGACTACGCAACTCACACCTACCTTTCTAAGCAAAACTCTCAATCGCTATATGCTGATGAATACACGTAACCTGCCAATTCTTTACACGTTGTCACGTTTTATCAGATTTTTTCTACCGCTCATCAGAATATTACGTCTAATTACCCAATCTATGCCGCCTGCACCCTTTGTCCTCCTCGACACTCGATGTCGCTAGATTAAGCTAGCTCGTGTGCACAAGTTATCCGTGCACTTGCTGCTCACCATTGCAATTAGCAGCATCGGATTGGCATTTCTGATTTCACAAATCACAAAATTCATATTAGAGTGCAATAGTACAAAAAAGGTATTTGTTGGGCGTGGTCGCCACACACTTTTTTGTAAGGTTTTGCACCGCCAACAAACTGGATCACTCGCAGACACTGAATGAAATCTACATTTTGTCAATCTTGTAAATTACAGATACCAGAAGTTAAGATGGTTTTGGAACGAATCATTAATTATTAAGAATATAATTCCATTAAGAATAAACAATAACAATGTTAATATTCTATTGAATACAATCAGTCTTAATTAGATATAAATAAAAACAGTCATGCTTAAATATATATTAATATCACTATTAATACTCACAATAGTCGTTTAAAAAACTAAATACAGAACAGACAGAAAGAGATCCATGCGAAGAATATAATTCAAACCAATAAAAGTATCAACCAAACTTTTAGTAACAAACGGTTAGTTACAAGATAAGAACACTGCGAAAGAACTTTTAAATTTCATAATCCTATTCTTCAATTTAGCTACTTTTGAGGTTAGCTACATCGGACATATAATAAGTGGCACCAAATATTATATTCCTCCTTTGATCATTCAAGGAAAAGTCGAAGGTAGAAGATGGGTAGGTCGAAAGAAACTGTCATGGCTGAGAAATATACGGAACTGGACCGGTCTGGGGGTGGAGAGGCTGTTTCGTGCAGCACAAGATAGAGAAATCTTCAACGAAATAGTCATAGAGATCGCCAACGCCTGAAGACAGGCACGGCACCGCAAGAAGAAGAAGATTCTCCAATTATAATAAATGCAAGTATCAATGCTGAAGAACAGAAATAAATAATACAGATTTTCTTTTTCTTTTAAAGTCTTCACATATTATTAGAGCTACTTTGTGTTTAATTATTCAAATTTAAAGTTCTCCATCTTCTAAATAATATGTCTATTATTTTACACCAAATTTTATTTTAATCTAATTATATTGAAAAGAGATCACAATTATATTAAGATATTGCTGAATCTGATCACCTTTTAATTTGTTTATGCTTTAAATTGTATTCATACGCTAACCATTAATAAGCTCTCACAAAAAACCTTGCATCTTTAGAGAAGAAATTTGAATTATACAAATTTACTTGTAAAGAACGTTAAGAAATCCATGGTAAAAAATAATCCAATCGGGAAAACAAATAAGAAACACAAAATAGTTAAATAACTACAATTACTGAAACATAACAAGTACTCCTCAATGATGACACTTTATTCGAGACCCGAGTGTTTGTAGCCACCGCAACAATAACAATTAAAAATATTCTAGAATCTAAACAATTGAGCGAAAATTCAACGCATCTCCTAAAAAATCTTGCCAAACACTATAAATCGAATCAACAAAAGCTTCTGGAGAAACAAAAACTGAAAACTTCGAATTTCGTTTCGAATTCTTAATTGAAGAAGAAAATTAAGATTAACTTACAATTTTGCTTGTGACAAACACGAAGAGATCCATACCAAAAAAATAATTTAATCCAAAATAAAACACGCCTAATGAAATTACAAAATGTCTATACCTCTTTGCTTTTGAATCGATAATTAAATTAGTAAGAGCAAAACAAAATCAACAATAATGCTCAGAAATAATTATTATATTTTTTTCTAAAATTGTTCATACAGTATGAAACTTACTTTATCGCTTATAGTTCAGATTTAAAAGTTGCTATTCACTCTAGTGGGAGTACTAGATATATGATTCTCATGTAACATACATATTACACAAAGCAGATCATATTTCAAGGTTTATCCGTGATAGTGGATTACAGTTAAAAACCAATTATTAATAAAAGAAAATTTTTATAAAATAGAAAAGAACACCGCAAATAATTTCTGGTGAATGCAATTCTTGATGATGACATTAATAATGAATACACTAATAGTCAGTAGTAGCTCATTTTTTAAAAAATCTCTGATGAAGAACAGAGCCAGACAATACAATTTTTCCTCTTTTTGTTTAAAACTTTCATATATTATAAAGTTGTTTATAAAGTTAACGTGAAATTTAGTAGTTGTTCAGTTTCTAGATGGTGTGGCACACATTTAGTTTTCATCTTATGTTCTAAATCACGTTGAAGCTATGTCGTTGAAGGGAGTAATAAGTCATAAGTTATTGATGAAATAAATTAAATGGAAGCAGACAATATTTATGTGAAGATACTGCTGAATCTAGTAAGTCTTTAATTAGACCAAAATTCAAATTAATTCATATTGGCCAAAAAAAGATTATCAAAACTTACTTGTAATGAACGACAAGAGATCCATATCGAAAAGATAATCCAATCCAAAAAATGAACAAACAAAATAAAACTGTTACAAATCACTAAACAATTATTCAAACCATAACAAGTACTCCTTCACTGACGACTTTTCACTCGCGAGAACTGAGTCTTCGCAGCCACCGCATCAACAACAACAACGTTCCGGAATCAAATCCTCTCAGCGAAAAATCCACACATCGCGTAAACAAATCCTGCGAAGAATCGGGTCAACGCCAGTAGCAGCGACTTTGCGAAAAACAACAACTGGAACTGTGCGACTTTCGTCCGTGGAAAAAAAGGGAGAGACTATGTCTACGGTCCGGGATCGAGAGAGACCCGCCCGGAATTCAAAGCTTTGGCTCCGGCGTCGTAAAAGCTCTGCATGGGACTGATGTTCATTCACGTGCAGGCTCCAGTACGCCAGATCTCGACCGGAGCCGAACGCCGTTCGGGCGCTCTTCGTGCGCCATCACCTGTTATGCCGTTCTTGAGGCGCTGCTGGTAGAGCTGCTGCTGCCCGTGTACGAGGTGGTAGTGTGCATGTGTGTATGTGCAGCAGGAGAAAGTAATATATTTCGGTTTGAAGGGAATCGCGATAAGGGTATTCGTACAGGTTGCGGCAAAAGTTATATAAAATAAGTTTGGGGAATTACGGTCATCAACATATTGATCTAAAAATATCTCTCAATTTGTATGAGACTCATGACAGGTTAAGTCGGTGGTGTAGGCTCTGTAACTAGGTATGAGGATAATTAGATACATAGAGTCGCATGGAGATAATGGATAGACGACGTAAAGACACAAGCCTTCTTCTGAGGGTGCCTATCAGGTTCAGGATGTGGAGGATAAGCAAAGCAGTTCGAACTTTACCGACTGCTGTACTAAATAACCCTCGTGTAGACAGGGTCAACGAAGTTCTAATTTTTTTCAACCCAGAAAGTCTGCGTCTTCCAAGTCCTCTTCTGCCTAAGGATCTTTCCTTGAAGTCCAATTTGGATATTTTTCTTTCGATTTCGTGCTTTCGATTTCAAAAACATGCCTAAATTATATGTTGTTTTATTTTTATAATTTTCATCAATAAATTAATTGTAATATTTTACAGTAAATTTCTAGATATTAATTTTTACTTCTTCATTATTTTTATGACACTTTTAAAACATACCAACCAGCATCTACTATGCACCAGGTGGCACCCCATTGTATTCTCGTCTCCCTTATTTATATATGCGGAGCTCTGTAGAACTGACCCGACTAAGTCTTGGGGTGTATCACTAGCTTTGCTAGAACTCCAATGTAAGGACATCGAGTTGGCGAGTCATAAATTCGAGGGAGTAAGGTCCTCACAATAGGAATTGGCCTCAACTCCAAGGAGGCAATAGAGAAAGAGAGATATCTTCTTTCTTATAGGTCCGGGACTACACTGGTATCAGATCTAAGGAAAGACCAAGTTAAAGAGGTGGAGAAAACCGAGACAGGTCCAGTCTCCACCTCACTGTTACCTAAGTTGGAGACAAGCTCCTCGATAGTGAAAGGCAAGTAGGGCCAAACCCGAACGTGGAAGGGTGTATACACTCGTAAGAGGTAGATGTCCACTACTTGGAGGATGTTCAGTTGTTGTCTTGAGGAGAATGGGAAATACCCTGCTCCCCCTAGAACAGGAAGATCCCGATGTATGATGATTTATAGACTGTATGATGAGTTATAACTCAAGAAAGGAGGACACAATAGATGTTTAAGGTCGCGGTGATTAACCACCCTTCCACTCATTCTACATTGTACTATGCTTCTTAAAACTCTATTTTTTTGGTTTGAATTGGTTTACACTTGGAGGTAGCTTTTGGCAGAGCATCTTTATAGATATACACCATAGTATGTTCATGTTGTTTTTGACACTTATTTATATCATAACAACTTATTTTGTACCAACCTATTTTCCTCACAACTGAGACGTTTTTTCGAATTTTGTACATGTTTTCTCTAAGTTAGGTACTCATTATTTACACCAAAAAAGTTTCTCCTAAGGAAAAATTACATCCATCCATACTTTTGATGATCCTCTTCGTGGCCTCTTTCAATTGTAATTTCAAGTTTACAAATCGGTTTTCATCCATTAGGTCGACATATCTACTTTGTATTCTTCTGTGTCGTGTCCATCTTATAGGCAAACTTTATTGGTTTAAGGGTTCTCCTAATCAAATTTTATCAAGTGTTTTTGGTTCCAATAATTTTATTTCTAATGCACGATATTCATATTTTTGGGTCTGGCTAAATTGCCTGAGTATATTTTTCTAGATTAATCTTCTCTTTATTATAATAGAAATTGTTGGACATCGAACAATTTTAATTACTGCTATACCATCTCCTTTTTAACAGAACAGACCTAGTTTTGTTCTACAACTTGGTAAATGGAATTACTTTACGCAACAAAATCATCTACGCTAACAATATTTGACTAAAAATCGGTGCCTCGACTATACTATATCTAATACAGACAAAACAATATTAAATTGTAATTTCAAGTTTACAAATCGGTTTTCATCCATTAGGTCGACATATCTACTTTGTATTCTTCTGTGTCGTGTCCATCTTATAGGCAAACTTTATTGGTTTAAGGGTTCTTCTAATCAAATTTTATCAAGTGTTTTTAGTTCCAATAATTTTATTTCTAATGCACGATATTCATATTTTTGGGTCTGGCTAAACTGCCTGAGTATATTTTTCTAGATTAATCTTCTCTTTATTATAATAGAAATTGTTGGACATCGAACAATTTTAATTACTGCTATACCATCTCCTTTTTAACAGAACAGACCTAGTTTTGTTCTACAACTTGGTAAATGGAATTACTTTACGCAACAAAATCATCTACGCTAACAATATTTTACTAAAAATCGGTGCCTCGACTATACTATATCTAATACAGACAAAACAATATTAAATTGTAATTTCAAGTTTACAAATCGGTTTTCATCCATTAGGTCGACATATCTACTTTGTATTCTTCTGTGTCGTGTCCATCTTATAGGCAAACTTTATTGGTTTAAGGGTTCTTCTAATCAAATTTTATCAAGTGTTTTTGGTTCCAATAATTTTATTTCTAATATATGCACGATATTCATACTTTTGGGTCTGGCTAAATTGCCTGAGTATATTTTTCTAGATTAATCTTCTCTTGCAGTGAAACTTTATTATAATAGAAATTGTTGGACATCGAACAATTTTAATTACTGCTATACCATCTCCTTTTTAACAGAACAGACCTAGTTTTGTTCTACAACTTGGTAAATTGAATTACTTTACGCAACAAAATCATCTACGCTAACAATATTTGACTAAAAATCGGTGCCTCGACTTTACTATATCTAATACAGACAAAACAATATTAAATTGGTATGAAATTGAACTTTTGTTAGGCCGGTATCGAGGCGTTGAACTGTAAAAAGTGGGGTTTTAGACTTAAATACGAACAAAAAGCGGCGGCAGCAGTATCGACAGAATGGCAATAAGTCAGAAATTTGCATTAGATCCAAAACGGTCGGCGTGGCGGTGTGGGAATCGCAGTAAATAAAAAGAGCTCGATTCGAAGTCCTTTCCGTCGATAGATTTAACTGTACCAAGAAATTGAAGTTGACGTAACGCAATATCTTTTTATGAACTTTGATTGAAATCGATTGTATGTGTCTAGTTCTCTTGTTTCTGAAATATCAATCTAAAGTATGTTGAATTATTTATAATAATTGTGTTAAGGATAATATCCTTATAGTTATGATAAATTACTTTTAAATGTTTAAATTGGTTATTATATTTTATGGCCAACTGGCAAAGGAGTCCGAGATATCCCCAATGCTGTTTACAGCAACATTAGAAGAAATTTTTCGTCAACTGTAGTGGACCAACAACAGATTAAAAATAGATGGAAAATATCTTAACCATCTAAGATTCACTGATGACATAGTCCTAATTGCCAATAGTCCCGAAGAACTACAAGCACAAATTAATGAACTAAATACAGCCAGCAATAAAGTGGGTCTCAAAATTAATTTAGCAAAAACTAAAGTAATGTACAGTGAACTAGTGAAAAAAAAAGACACTCTAATAAATAACACAACACTGGAAATAGTAGAAGAATATAAATATTAGGGATAACTAATACACAGCGTGGGATCTCTACTACCAGAAATCAACAAATGAATTAAGTTAGCATGGAGTACTTATCGAAGAAACTCATCATATTCAAATCTAGAATGCCACTTTATCTAAAGAAGAAAACATTCGACCAATGTGTACTACCAGTCATGACCTATGCATGCGAAACCTGGACACTTAAAACGGACATCATAAGGGAACTGCAGGTCGCACAGCGCTCATGTAACGAAATATGCTGGGAATACCCAAGAGAGACCGTAATAGAATAGAGTGGATACAACAAAAGACCCATACCCCGTAATAGATGTCATCCATAGTGTCAAATCCCTCAATTGGCAATGGGCAGGACACCTGGCAAGAAGGACGGACAACAGATGGACCTCAAAAATTACAGAATGGTACCTACGAGGAATTAAGAGACCTAGAAGAAAACTGAACCCTGAGATGGGACCATGATATTAGGAAATTAGCGGGGATAACTTGGTTTGGTTTGGGGGGGGGGCAACTACAAATAGAGTATGTGAGAGAGGCTACACCATAATTGGAAATGGTTGAATAAGCTGAAAATGATGATGATAATGATGATAAATTTCATAAATTTGTTTATTGATTACCAACGACCATTCGATAAAGTCATATATGATTTACTTTTGACAAGACTACGGGAAATTGGAGTAGTTGAAAAGGACATCCAAATCATAAAACAACTAGATTGCAACCTGACAGCCGAAGTGAAGATAAATGAGAGAGCCTCGACCGAAGCGTTTGAAGCAACCAAAGGAGTAGGACAAGGATGTATTCTGTTACATATGCTTTTTAAAAACCATGTCGATAAAATATTCCAGCTTGCTGTCGAAAATGAGTCCAGGGGTATTAAGGTCAATGGAAAATCCATTAATAATATTCGATATGCGGACGATACCGTTTTATTGGTTCCCACTATGGAACATCTTCAAGAACAAATGAATAAGATAAATAGTGTGGGACAACAGTACGGGCTACATATTAAACCTCAAAAATCATCATGGTGATTAGTCGGCAAGTCCAAAATGTTAACCTTACTCTATACGGCGAGATCATCGAACAAGTGGATAGAATTAAGTATCTCGGCCGTGTTTTTAATAACAAATGAGACTGCGACGAAAAAGTTAAAATTCGAATCGGCATGGCCAAAACAGCGTTTAGAGGGCTTCAAAATATGCTCCTACAACAACGCTTACCATTCCGACCAA